CCAACACAGCACTCACAACCAGTTACAAGCCCCTATTAAGCGACAATGTAGACACCCAGGGAAAAGTCACACTGGTCAGCTTGTCAGGCAAAGTGAAATGAAATCCTACTCATTCCAGTGCAAGTGGTTCACCTACAATATTACAGTGGTACCTCAGGTTACATACACTTCAGGTTACATACGCTTCAGGTTACAGATGCTTCAGATACTCCGCTAACCCAGAAATAGTACCTCGGGTTAAGAACTTTGCTTCAGGGTGAGAACAGAAATCATGCTCTGGCGGCGCAGCAGCAGCTGGAGGCCCCATTAGCTAAAGTGGTGCTTCAGGTTAAGAACAGTTTTAGGTTAAGGACGGACCTCCAGAACAAATTAAATACTTAACCCAAGGTACCACTGTAATCCCTTGTCAGCAGCCTGACTTCACAATAACATCAGGCAACTTGGTTTTCCCCATACAGACAATCAGCTGATTGTCAGGACTTGCAAGTCTCTTTTGACCAAGCTGCATCTTTACCTGCTTCACACCTGACCTCTTATATGAGGGCTGTGGCTTAGCCAAAACAACCACATGGGTCAAATAAGGGCACCTGGCAGGCTTCAATCAGCCTTTGGTCCAGAGGTTTCCCCACTTCTGGTCTAGCATAAATCAAAACTAGTGGCAACCAGAAAATGTAATATTATTTCATGCAGGTTTACTGGCACCACACTTTGCATATAATTAAGTACCGAACAAACTAATACATGCAATCACAGGCTGGGTTTGAAGTTTTTCCTGTTGAATTTTTCATTTTCAATAAGAGGTCCATGAAGTATGAAAATTATGTGAAAAATGATTATGTGAACACCCTCTATCCTGGACACGACACACTGTAAAGGAGGGGTGGAGTCACAATTTTGTAGGCTCCCAAGTCTCCAGGGAAAGTAATTGAGCCCTTGAGAGAGCCCCCAAAGGCTATCAGAGCCACTCCACAAACCGCCAACTCAAAAGTTCAGGCAGTCTCTCTTTATATAAATTGTGTGAGTCAGCCCACCCATGTAAAGTGGTAACAGCAACACCCACTCACCCACCGTCACATGTGCAAGGAGGGCTTACAAAAGCATTCTCCACTGCTAGACCAAAAAGCGATAGAAAGCAAGAGGTGATTGTACATGATGCAGAGTATCTGAATCCTGTTGGAGCCTAAGAAAATAGGTGGGGTGTGTTAAGAACATAATCGGAGCTTGTTGGATCAGGCCAAAGGCCCACCCAGGCTAGCATTCCTGATCTCACAGTGGCCTACCAGATATATTGAAATACTTTATTGTCACTTGTACAACTTGTATACAGTGAGATTACACGAGCACCCCCCACTCAGCTCTCTTAGTCTTAATTTCCCTCGTTTACTGATGCACACCCACCAAACCCGAAAGTCAGTTGCCCTGTTGTTATCTTTTCATTCAGCAGCCTAACAACCCACGGATAGAAGCTGTTCTTTACACTGTTGGTGCAACTAATCGTGCTTCTATATCTTCTGCCTGAGGGCAGGAGATCAAGAAAGTGCCGGCCAGGGTGTGAATAATCCCTGAGAATTTTCCTCACTCTCCTGAGGCAACGTTCTTCCGTGATGTCATCCAGTGGATTCACGGAACAGCCCATAATATCTTGTGCTGTATTCACCACCCTCTGTAGGCACTTCCTACCAGTTGATGTCAAACCAACGTACCACATTGTGATGCAGTATGAAAGGACACTTTCTATTGTGGAACAGTAGAAAGAGATCATCAAATGTTGATTGACATCGTTCTTTCGCAATACTCTGAGGAGATGGAGATACCTTTAGGAAACCCAAGCACAAGAGCAGCCCCCCACCCCACCCCATGGTTTGCTGCTACTGGTATCCAGATGCATTACTGTTTCCAGCCATGGATCAGTTTGCTAGGGAAGAATGGAAGAATATGAAGAAGGAAAGGAGCTCCAAGCCATAAATTGGGTCAAGGAGTCAGCAACATCAAACCTGTAGGTACACATGCACCCACAAAGGTATTGGCCAGTGCCCCCAGCTGTAGTCCCTTCTGCTGCTCCTCTCACGGAAATTAGGCATGCAAGAAGCATTCATTTTTTTGTAGCCAGTAGAAAAGGTTCTGGTGTGTGTTGACTTGGTCTCTGTGTGGGTGTCTGCTAGCCACAGAAGTTTCTCCACTTTGCAAATGTGTCTGTATGCTAAGAAAGGTTGGCAACCTCTGAAGTTAACATTGCATGATCTGGCTGCAAGGATCCATTATTTGCTCAGATCTATATACAAAATACATTGCTAAATAATTTTTTGACTACTTTTAAACTCAACCCACCCCCTCCGCTCCTCCGCTGCCAGATTTGTGAGGATAACTCACTGACCCTTGCTAATTGGCTAAAATACATTTTTTACTTAATAGGCTTTCCATAACACAGAGGCTTTTATTGAGTTTTCTGTTGTTAAATATCCCTTCCTCTCTCTCTTTAGGTGGGAGAAGTATTAGCTTCTGATTTCTGAGTCCATAAAGGAAAGATTAAAGTCCAATGGTGGCTTATAGGTCAGTCTGGCTGACATACAGATATGGAGATATTGTGAGTTATTAACTGGATAGTAACTTAGGGCAGGAAATGGGTGAGCTAATCAGATCTCTGCTGTTGACCTCCTTTGTAACTCTTATCAAACTTTGCACTTCTTCAGCATAAAACTTTTAAGGTACTGTAGCAGCAGGAAATATGAGATAGACAAATTGCTCAGCTTTCAGACTAGGCATAGACATTTATTTGTGTTTACATTGCAGCATGGCATAACATCCTGTCCTGACTGAATCCTTTATCTGGCCTTCTGAAACCTGATGCCCTCGAGATGCTTTGGACTACAACTCCCATCATCCCTGACCATTGGTTATGCCTGGAATGATGGAATTTGTAGTCCAATAATATTTGGAGGGCACCAGCTTGGGGAAAACTGCCTTAATGTGTTAGAAACACTTCATGGCGAACAAGTCAGATATTAAGAATGCTTGGTATCCTAGATGTACACACACATTGAGAATGAACAGGGAATACCTAGGCTGCCTTGTCACTGAATTTTTCAAAGAAGTCGGGACAGAAATGGAAGGCAAACATGAATGGTTACAGAAGATACCCACCAATATTTTGAGAGAATAAAGCTTAATCAATGGCCAACTTGGCTGAAGGGCAAGGGAGTGACCATAACCTTAAAAATATTTTTTGGGGTGGAGAAATCCCCTGAAACACAGTCATCTTCCTCAATTTACAATTGCAATTTAATACCAGATACTCTACCAGAAGAAAGCTAACCAGTTGGTCTGGACTCAGACCCACAAGGCCTATGCACGGGATGTTACGTAGAGCGCCACCACCAAGCTCTGGCCAAAGAAGGGTACTAAAGGGTATCCAGCCCCGCAATAAAGGAAGTCTCTTGAACATCAATAGGCCAGAGCGGATTAATTGTACGTTAAAGCCAAAACACAGCAAAACTTCTGGGTTAGAGCTGCTGTCTTAATCTGAACAACAAGGTGACTCTTCTACTGTTCCCCATCTCACCTTCTTTCAGCCTTGCCTCTGCCTGACTACACCAAGTCCTGTCATGTTCTTGCACTTCCAGAACGTTGGACTAGATGAGCCTTGTGGTCCCTTCCAACGCTATGTTGGAATTCTATGTTCTCAGGCACATGGATGTTGAGAAAGGAACAGGTTTGAAGCACTAGCTCAGAGAGGGGAAAGAGCCATGTTTGGAGTGGCAGAACTGATGCCTTGAAAAGAGATGAGGAAGTGGGGTTTCCCCACAAGGGCCAAATCTATGTTGTCCAGTACAGGGAGTTAGCTAAAATCATTAGATGATTCTTTTAAAATGCAATATCTTAATATTGCAGCACAGCGATGGCACTTTGCAGCAGTGCTCAGTGGGAGGAAGAAAGCTCATTAATTAGCAAAACAACCAAAAACAAATATATGGGGCAACCCGTGAAGGGAAAAAAAACGAGCCATCAAAATAAGTAATTGATTTTTGCCTTATTTACTCTCATCATCTTCCACTGCTACTTAATCATCCATTCTCCTTCCTTCCTTCCTTGGCTATGGGAAAGAAATGTGACATAACGAGAGAAAATGCTGTCCCCGAGACTGCTGCAGTGAGATGTTCTTTTAAAAGCCAGGAACGCACTCCTGGGATATCCCAGTTACGTTTGCTGCCACCTTGTATTAACCCCTCCCCCATAACAACGCACCAAGCCAGCCAGCCCTCAAAGAAGGGCAGCAAGAATTCAAGCGAATGGGGAAGCGTTTCATCTTTATTCATCCCGCTTGCCTGGTTAGAATCAAAGAGGAACTGAAACCTTCCTTTACCTTTGGAGACTTGGGTTCAGTGTTCGGTGCTCTAGCCGCTTGTCAGGCGTAACATTGGCGTCTTCTAAGCCAACCAGAGGCATGAAGGGAACGCTGCTCTCCTGCAATGCTGCGCCGCCTGTTCTCCTGATGCCATCACCTGTAGCAAAGGCGGGAAATGTAGAATCTAAGATTCCCTCCAGATGGATTATGTTTGTGTGTGCGTATTCTGCAACATGCCATTGATACAATAATTTGAGGCTTTTTAGTTTAGAGGAAAGGCAAGGAAGAGATGGATGACATGGTAGAAGTTTATAAAATTCTGTGTGGCATGGAGAAAGTGGGCGATTTCCCCTTCTCCCTCTCTCATTAGACAAGAATTTGGGGACATCCAATGAAGCCAAATAGATGAAGATTCAGGACAGACAAAATAAAATACTTCTTCACACAGTGCATAGCCGAACAATGGAACTTGCTCTCAGATGATGCAGTGTTGGCCACCATCATGGATTTCCTGTTAGGCCCATTATCAGTGAGTACAATGTTGGAGGTTTTTAAGCAAAGGTTGCATGGCCATCTGTCATAGAATCATAGAACTGCAAAGGACTAAATGATCCACAAAGGTCATTTAGTCCAACCCCCTGCAGAATAGGAACCTTTTTGCCCAATGTGGGCCTCAAACCCACGACCCTGAGATTAAGGACTCAACTATACAGCTGCAAATAAAACATTTTAAATGTGTTGCAAAGTGCAATATGCAAACATGACACTAGATGGCAACAGTGAGCTATGCAAAAACCAATGTCTTTTTCAAAACTTTTAAAAAAAAAGCATTTTCACAGTGCTTTTTATATGTGTGTAGATTCCACCTAAGAGTCTCATGCTCTACAGACTGAACTATCCAGCTGTTCATGGATGCTTCAATTGAGATTCCTGCCTGAACTTGGACTAGACCACTCCTGGGGTCCCTTCCAACTCTACAATTCTGTGATTCTGTGAAAAGCAGGACAATGCACACGTACATTTGTCATATAAAAATTACAGAGATTCAACAGGTAGCTATGGTTCATGCACCAACTGGGAATGTCTACTCCACAACTCTTGCCTCTCTGTCTGACCCATAGGGCTCTCCCCTCACCCTACCCACAGACCCTCTGCCCAGGCACCCCTTGGCAGCATCTCAGAGAGTTTTTGCCTGGCTGGAATATGTTAGTGAACTCTGTTAATGCCTCTTGCTCACCTGGACAAAAGATAAAGAGGGAAGAGTGTAGAAGCTAGCATACCGTACAAAGGTTACATCTACATATGTTGATCTGCCCACTTTTGCCTCTGATCCCACTCACCACTGGCATGTGGCCCCCAGAAAGTTGCCCAGGAGGAACTCTGGCCCTTCAGCTGGCAAAGGTTACCGAATCCGGCAAAAGAATGCTCGACAAGTTTCCCAATTAAAATATTTCACATTCACCGAGAAGAACTATTATATCATTTTTACAAGCCAGCGACATGACTCTTTGGCTGCACTGCTGTTCGCTTTTGTTCATTCCAATGCTGTATGAATCATACCCAAGTTATGGTAAAACAAGGTCTTGTTCCTTTCCTCCCCCACCCCCTAAGGAGGAAGATGTTAACCTTTGCCAGCCGCTGAAGTGCAGTCCCGTAAGTTATACATCCATTCGTCTCCACAGGGCGATTTGAAAAATCACACCATTTTTCACTCCTGGGTTCAGCTCTTCAATTTGCTCAAGATGGAAAACGGAGAAACTTGTTTTAGGAAATAATGAATAAATCACACAGCTCAACTTTTCGTCCCCTCTCCAACGCTCCATTTCAGCTTCTCAATATAGTTTTGAGAAAACTGCCAAGACCTTCCCAAAGAACAGTTTGTTTCTATTCTACTTCGCAATGGCCTGCGGTGGCATTTTTGCCGACCTTCTGGGAAATCTCCGACTTGTCCGTGAAACCCACCCAAACCATTACAAGTGGGGATATTATATTGACCTAAGCATGGTGGCCCTGATCCTGGACCATATTCCACATTTTGAGGATGAAACAGAGCTACCCCCCCCCCAAGGAGGGATGTGCAAAGTCTCATCAGTTTTATTTGGAAGCAGCTCAAAAATATTTTTGCATTAAAAAATAGAAACAAACCTCCCATTGCCAAACAAGCTCTGATTCCCAACCCCCAATAATTTTAAATTGATTCCTAAATTGCCCATCAACAATATATTGGTAACTGTTAGGGCCAATTGAACATTGAGCAGGGGTGGTTCCCATTGTGGTGTAGCACTTAGAGCACTGGACTAGGATCTGGGAACCCAGGGTTTGAATCTCTATTCAGCTAGGATGCTCACATGGTGATCTTGCTGTCTCTTAGCCTAACCTACCTCACAGGGTTCTTATAAAGATAAAATGGTAGGGGAGGGGGGAGAACTCTGTACGCCACCCTGAGCTCCTTGGAAGAAAGGTGTGATATAAAAGTAATAAATAAAGACTGCTCTGTGAAGAAACAACTTAATTCAGCATCATTCTCCCATTCTGCAAAGTGCACTGCCCCACTATAAATACCGGCAAATAAACAGCATAATACACAGATTGTATATATTGGCTTTGGCATCCCCCCACCCCATTTTTTAATTATGCAATGTTAATCAGGCTTCAGGCGTTGAGTTACATGGCCTTCAATCCAAAGGTGAGGACAAAAAGCTGAGCAACTGCCAAAAAGCAAAGAAAAGACACCGAGAAACTGTTCCAGAGGAACACACGGTCTCTCCCACACAAATGCGATTGCTGGGCGTACACATTCCCACAATCTGCATGAAGGGGTGACACATGGCAGCAGAAGAAAAGATATTTGTTGACTCAAACACGCAGCATAAACAGGCAGGGGGACAAGGAGGAGAAGGGATTAAATCTCCCAAGGTGGATTGCAACCTTCTAATGTGCATGTTGATGTTGAATCAATGAAGAGTCTTTCCAGACGGTTGCCTCTAATGCAGCGGTTCTCAGATGTTGTTGGGCAACAACTCGCATCATCCCTGAGCTCTGGCTTTGCTAGCTAGGTGTGATGGGAGTTGTAGTCCAACAGCATCTGGGGACCCACAGGTTGAGAACCGCTGGTCTAGAGCAATAGAAAACAAATTTGCTTCATCACCTCTGATGATTAAATGGGACTCAAGGCATACCACCTGATTCTGTGTAGCAAACCTTAGAAATTTGATTCTGTGTAGCAAAGCTTAGAAATTTGTACTTCTCCACATTTTGAGATGCAGTTCTCAACCCCCTAGAAATGCATTAAACTGTGTATAGTAGTGGGAAAGGTGCATAAAAACACATTTAAAAAAGAATATATTTTTTAAAGTACTTAATTCGTTCCGGAGGTCCGTACTTAACCTGAAATTGTTCTTAACCTGAAGCATCACTTTAGCTAATGGGGCCTCCCGCTGCTGCCTCACCACCGGAGCACGATTTCTGTTCTCATCCTGAAGCAAAGTTCTTAACCTGAAGCACTATTTCTGGGTTAGCGAAGTCTGTAACCTGAAGCATATGTAACCTGAAGTGTATGTAACCCGAAGTACCACTGTATATAAAAATCTGAAGCTGCATTTCACACCACATCCTCTTTCTGCAAGTATCCTCCTGTTGTGTTCATTTGGCAGCGGTTGCCCTGATCTCTTGACCTGCCAACTGATAGCAAGAAAATTGAGCATTAGCAACAAAAATGTGTCCTTACTTCTTCTGACAATGTCCCCATCATGCCATGAACCCTTTTCTTTCCCTATTATTTTATCTGAAAGGCTGTGCTTTCCACTCTGCGATTGTGCAATGCACCCCTCTTCTGGATATTTGTGGGGTATTTTGGGGGTGGGGGGAAGCTTCATCAATTTCACAAAGCTTCATCAGCTTCACAAAATCTGCTTTCTCTTAGCAACTCTGCCACGACCAGCTGCCTGTAGGTCTCCTACACAAGAGGCTGCCTTCTGCTGAGTCAGAACATTGGTCTGTCTAGCTCAGTATCGTCTCCTTGTCTATTCTGACTGGCACCAGGTTTCTAAGGTCCAAGCCCTGCCACGTTGTTCCAATAATAGGGATAGGTGAACTTCACCCTCCCTTTCTCATTTCCCTAGTCTTGTTCAGTTCATCAAATTCAGCAGCATTTCAGTGCAATTTTCGCCTAACATTCACCATTTACTACGTAGTTTTCACTAATCTGCACCTCTTTGCAAACCTGTTTTCCTTGCTGTGGTGCACATTTGCATGTTACTTTCATGCATGCATGAATTTTAATAAACGCTTCAAAGAATGGCTACATCTTCACACTCATTACTTGGCTGGACTACTGCATTGCAATAATTCACAGGAACGAACATTGCAAAGAATGACTCTGTTTCGGTTCCTGTATTTTATTTTATTTTTGTAAAGTGTGAATTAGGAAGATTGCCTTTCAATGCAAACTCGGTCAAATTCAAGGGTTAGGATACAAGACCTGATTCATGTGGAGCCTACATATGAGATGCAGACCATCTTGCTACCTTAAAGAAATCAAATTTTCCTTGCTGGGAACATAGGAAATTGGGTTACACTGAATCAGACCAAATGGTTCATCTAGCTCAGTATAACTTACACTGACTGACAGAGGCTCTCCACCGTTTCAGGCAGGTTTTCCCTCAGTCCTACCTGGACTTGCCAGGGATTGAATGTTGACATACAAAGCAGATGCTCTACAGCTGAGCTTTTGCTTGAGACTCCCAACCCAACACCCACACAGTACCACTTCTCTCTTCCTCCCAAACCCTCCTGAAAATCCATTTTTTTCTGTGAAACCTTTGGCCAAAGGCCAGAACTAAAGCTGACGGATGGAAATGGTAAGAAAACAGATTCCATTTAAACATTAGGAGAACTTCCTTTTGGTCAGAGCTGTTTGACAACGGCCAACTGCCTCGTAGTGATTGTGTGTGTGCAGAGCCATCTTAAGCATATCCGGTGCCATGGTGCAAAGATCCCTCCGGTGCCCCCCCTTCCCAGAGTTTTTGACCTTTTTTTAGGGCTGGAGGAGGCAGGCAGCCAAGTTCTGGAGGGCATCAGACGAGAGTCCTGGGAACACCGAATGAGCGTGCTGAGTGAGTGAGTGAGGGTGCGTGCGTGCGTCGCTCCCGCTGAGAGTTGGCTTGGTTTTTTCCCTTTTAGCCTTCTGGCATCCCACAGAATTTGGCGTCTGCAGGCTAAAAGGGGAAAAAACGAGCTGGTGCTCGGCGGGAGCAGTGCACACACCCTCTCTCAATCAACGTACTCGTTTGGTGTTCCCCGGTCTCTTGCCTGGTGCCTTCCAGAACTTGGCGCCATGGCGCCCCATGCCACTAGTCTCTATGGGTAAGATGGCCCTGTGTGTGTGTGTGTGTGTGTGTGTGTGTGTGTGTGTGTTGAACACAGAAGCTGCCTTATCCCAAGTCAGACAACTGGTCCATTTAGCTCAGTATTGTCTACACTGAGTGTAGTTCTCTGGGATTTCCAACAGGACTCTCCCCAATCCTAACTAGAGATGTAAGGGATTGGACACAACTTCTTGTATAGGTTTCTTTCAAAAACAGATGAATATGGAAATGAGACAGAACAGGCTTAGGCACAAACACATGACATCAACCAGAGACTGATGGTTCTATTAATTAACTCCATGAGAAATGTCCTTTCTGTTTTCGAAAGAGGTGATTTTCAAAAGAGGTCTATTCTGTTTTTCTCCTGGTTGCTTCAATATGACATTGCCACCTCTTGCTGCATGTTGATGGATTTGAGGTCACAGGGCAGATAAAACATTTGGACGTTCTTCTTGAAGGAGCCTTCTTCTCTCATGTTATGACTTCTCTGCTAGAGTCCTCCCAGTTCCCTCCCAGTGGATGAGCCTTGGCAAATTACGTTTGTTTTAATGAGAACTGAATGGAGAGCCCTTCCAGTCCTCTCCCTCCCTAATGACAGCTAAACAGGTCAGTTATCATTAATGTCAGAAGCACACTGGACGCCCAGCTCTGGTGTTACCTATAAGCTTCTCCTCTCTGTCTTCCTTGTTCCCATGCGAAAAGAGGGGAAAAGGACTTCTAAGTGTTTGTGAAGATAGGGAGGATGATCACAAGTGAGGTGCCCGGTTTATTTTCTTGCCACAGAGGCTCAAGTGCCGGCCCTCAGCTGACAGTGTCAGGTTAAATATAGCGCACAGATTGACTTCGGCCTCCCCTTTAATGTCACTCTGACAGCTTTTGCCAGCTCCGAATGCATCATTAAAGCCATAAAAGCGGACATACTGGTAGCAAAGGATGCCGCTGGGACAGAGACAGAGAATTGCCAGGCAATGAGTAAGGGGAGTAGGAGAGCAAAAAAAAATTCAGACCCCCTTTTTTGCATCCCCGCCCCCAAATACTCCCCCCCAACCCCATTTGATTGAAGTATAGGCTAGCGATGTCACCAAATGCTGTCTTTCCTGGCTCAGAAATAAGGTGTCTCGGTGGCTCCATAAAGCTTGCCCCAAATAAAAGGCAACCATCACAACCCTGAAAGTTCTTCTCCGGCTTAGATTTCAACCCAACCCAAAGAAGACGTCATTTCCTCCCCAGTGGAGGCTGGCCCAATATGGCAGATATGACACTGCCCCAGCAACCTCTGTCTTCCCTCACCAAGCCCCCAATCGCCTGCCTTTTTATTTACCTAAAATTATAGGGAGTGGCACTGCCTGCTAATTTCCTCTTCCGTAGTTTCAGGATTGGCCTTTGTAGAGGAGCAAGGTGGGGACAAAACTAGAATCAGCTGACACTACCTGTCATTGGCCCTGGCTCCACTTTGATTCACTCCAGCTCCACCTGCTGTTAGATTCTATTGGCTCCACCTCTGTTAGCCCTACCTACTGCTGACTTCCCTGCCTTCCAGCCCAATAAGGCAGGGCCCAATAAGCACCGGCCACTACTGGTTCTCCCTCCAGTCTGCCTCCAAACCTTTCCCACCCCATCTCAATTACTTTCCTTGGTGCTGGAGAAGTAACAGGACTGGTGGGGGGAGAAGAGATGCTTCTCTTTCCTCTCATCTCAGGCTTTTGTTTGAATTAAGAATCTCAAGGACTAGATGAGGAAGTGCAAGAGAGAGCCATTGCAGGCAGATGGGTGAGATGAAGAGGAGACAGGGGTTCGGAAACTTGGTAGAGGGAAGGATTAGACACTGCTGCATCCCCAATATCCATCATCTGATGTGCAACTGAGTCTTATGCAGCTCGGAATTGGGCTCTGTCTGTTTTGGTGGGAAGCAGTACAGGTTTCCAAGCGTGACTGGTAAACAAGAAAGGCAGGGCTTCCACTCTATGATAAAACCGTTTTGAATTCTGCACCCTAAATTATAAACCAAGACAAGAATATTTCTTTAGCCTGATCAGTTGTACACATAGAACCCATGTGCAAATACCCTCTTAAAGGTAAAGGTAAAGGGACCCCTGTCCATCAGGTCCAGTCATGGCTGACTCTGGGGTTGTGGCGCACATCTCGTTTATTGGCCGAGGGAGCCGGCGTACAGCTTCTGGGTCATGTGGCCAGCATGACTAAGCCGCTTCTGGCGAACCAGAGCAGCACATGGAAACGCCGTTTACCTTCCCGCCGGAGCAGTACCTATTTATCTACTTGCACTTTGATGTGCTTTCAAACTGCTAGGTGGGCAGGAGCAGGGACCGAGCAACGGGAGCTCACCCCATTGTGGGGATTCGAACCGCCGACCTTCTGATCGGCAAATCCTAGGCTCTGTGGTTTAACTCACAGTGCCACCCGCGTCCCTAAATACCCTCTTAGTTGTGCATTATTAATTCTCCTTCTAGCTACAGCAAAGGGCAAGTAGATATGGAGAGCATTCTCTCTCTCTCTCTCTCTCTCTCACACACACACACACACACACACACACACACAGGTCCACTAAGCTCAGTCTCCCCCAGCTTTGGAAATTTCACCAGACATAATCTACATAGATTCAAGCAAACGTTTGCAACCATAAGCAATAGAAATTTTGTGGTGGTTGATTTAAACACCTCTGGGAGTCTCATAATACAAGATGAAGCCCTATGGAATCAGACCAAAGATCTAGCTAGCCCAACACTCTAGTTTCTAGGCGATGAAGGCATGAGCTCTGTTGTGTGTCCCCCACCTCACAACATTATATACTGCCTCTGAATATGGAGGTTCCATTTAGCTGTCAGGGCAAAAATAGTCATGTCAAGGATGCTCAAGTCTGTACAAAATAGTCTTTTGGAGTCACAGAATTACAAAGTTATTCGACCTCCAGTTTAACAGGCTGTAAAACAAATTGCCATATGCCTTGCCTTCTCCCAAGGACATTAAGAAAGAACAGGATATAATCATTATTCTTATTAACTCTGAAACCTTGGATGAAAAGTAGATGCTTGGAAAGGATGCTAGCAGACATCATTGGGGGGGGAACATACTTCTAGTTCCCTGGTACCCAGTGAGAAGCATGATATGTCAAGTACCTTGTGCTCACGGAAAGCAAACATAAGTCTAATAAATGGGAGCTGGTGATTTCTACTCTATATTTAAGTTCACGGAGCCAGAGAAGATGTCAAAGCAGAATAAGAGGCTCAGGTTGTTCATATGGCTGCTTTTGAGGAAGGGGAGTTCAACAACATACACACAGAGTTACAATTCTTGCAGCTAAAGGTGAATGTACATCTTGGAGGGTGATCGCGAACCTATCAAATGATGTAAACTGTTCTACAATTCATTCATTATTATCTCACCCACATCTCTCTAAGAGGGTGAAAGAGAAGGTCAGTTCTGGAGGTCAGGCAGGCATGAAGGAATCTGTCCATTTCAGGTTTTCATTTTCCCAACCTTAGGTTTGGCACCAGGTGTCTCTGCATCAGCCAGCCATACTCTCTCATCAGCCTACCTTACCTCACAAGGTTGTTCTAAGGTTAAACTGGTGGGGGGAGATGGAATGGATAATCAGGATCAAAAGTGGATCTATGATAAATTAAGCTGGTATGATGAGCTTGGCCTTGGGCAATGCCTAAGGCAACTGCGCAGGTTCCTACGCTGACATCACCTCAACATATTGCATAACATTGGTACTTCCAGGACAACAGAGACCATCAAGATGTTGCTGCATTTCTTCGTTCATTTCTTTATTTTATTTTATTTTATTTATTTATTATATGAAGGATATTGACAAGCTGAAACGAGTACAGAGGAGGGCATCCAAGATGATCAAGGGTCTGGAAACTGAGCTTTACGTGGAAGACTTGAAGGAACTGGGTATGTTTAGCCTGGAAAAGAGGAGACTGAGAGGAGATATGATAGCCATCTTCAAATATCTTAAGGGCTATCACATGGAAGAGGGGGCATGTTTGTTTTCTCCTGCTCTTGAGGGTCGGACTCGAGGCAATGGCTTCAAGTTGCAAGAAAGGAGATTCCGACTTAACATTTAGAAGAAGAAAAAACAACTTTCTGTTGGCCGTGGAACAGACTCCCACAAGAGGTGGTAGACTCTCCTTCCTTGGAGGTATTTGCTATCTGTCATGGATGCTTTAGCTGAGATTCCTGCATTGCAGGGGGTTGGACTAGATGACCCTTGGGCCCCTTCCATCTCTAAGATTTTATGATTCTATTATTTATATCCCGCCTTTCCCCCAGGCTGAAACTCAAAGCATATTGCACCAATTAAAGCAATGCAGATAACATACAAAAAGCTGATAGCATACAGAAGGTCATCATTAAAAAGCAAATAGAATTAAAACAATATAACAAAGAAATCTATTAAAATACAGATAATAAAAGCAGCACAGCACTATACTTTCCTTTTTTTAAAAAAGGCCTGTCAGAAAAGAACACTCTTCACCCGCCAGTGGAAGGACAAGGAAGCAGCCCATCTAGCTTCTCTAGGGAGGGAGTAACAAAGTCTGCGAGCAGCCACCAAGAAGGCCCTCTTCTGCTTCCCCACCAAGCCTGCCTCTAAGGGTGGTCAGAGAGAGAGAAAGGCCTTCCCTGAAGATCCCAGAGCCTGGGCAGGTTTGCATGGGATAATATGGTCTTTCAGATAGCCTGGGCCTAAGCTGTCTAGGGTTGATTGGTTGTAGTAATAATGCATGAAAGGAAGGGAGGAAAAAAACAAAATAAAAAAAATCTGAGCATGCTTAAGGAGGTACAGAAACAGAAAGAAAACTAAGGATTATTTGCATCTTGGCACAGAGCAGAAGATGTGGAAGGGCTATCTATACCCTTCC